TCACTGACAGTCTTTCTGTGCATTTAAGTATTCCATTCCTGCTCTTTGAGGGCATTCATTTTGAAGATTGTTTTAAATACTGAGTTACAGCATAGTTCTCTCAAATAGGCAAGTTGTATTATATATTAAACCTAGCCAAGTGTCCAAGGTAGTTGTATGTGTTGCAATAACTAGATTTACATCAACAGTGCATTACACACTAATCTTTTAGTCAATTGAGGGTAATTCACAGTTACACCTTCAGAATGTAATCAGGTTAAATTCAGTCTCATGAGGGGAAGAATAACTCTTACATACTGGTCACAAGGATTTAATGGTTTCATTACATATATCAGTGATTTAATATTGCTGTTATAAAAATCCAGACTTTTAAAATTGGCTAAGTGCTTTTTTTTAAAAAAAAAACATTCTCTTTTTAAGGAATGTGTGTTTGTGTGTTGCTGGTCATGAAAATGGTGGTCGTAGTAGAGAGGGAAGCAGAGGTGAGAAAAGGGAGGCTTTTGTCTCACACTCAAGATTTCTTCAGCTGCAGAACTATTCTTTATGTCTTTGTAAGACTTGATACTGTCTGAAGAAGTCTCAAAAGTGACATGGCAGATCAAAATTAAACACATTTGGAAAGACCATGTTTTCTGATATCTTCCATCCTCCTGGAAAAATTTTTTGAAAACACTCTTTTAGGTCAGGAAGGTGGCTCAAGGGATTGGAGCAAGACCCTTGGGTTCAATCCTTGGCACTGCAAAACCGAAAAACCAAACTCAAAACAACTAAACCCCCAAAGCAAACCAAAAATCCACCCAAAACTACCCCCCCAAAGACTCAAAGATAGCCAACAACAACAGAATCCCCCCACAGAACAAAATAAAAAATGTATGGGGCTAGAGAGATAGCACAGCAGGTAAGATGCTTGCCTTGCACACTGCTGACCCAGGCTCAGTCCTTGGCACTGCAGAGCCTGAGTGCCCAGCCAGAAGGAAGTCTGGAGCATACCGGGTGTGATCCCCAAACAAAAAAGAAAACAAAAACTTAAAAATATAAATTACATATAGCCACTCTCCAACACCAAAACAATACTCTTTATACGAACAAGTATCTGTAGTGCATTGCTCTGTGTGGAGTCTCACAGAAAAGACGTTTTGTGGCTCTTCCTTTGAAGAAATAAAAATGAGAGGGTGTGCAGAGAAAGGCCCCAGGGAGAGAGGTGGAGAGGTGCAGTAACATTGTATGCCGGAAACATTAATATTCATACTATATAAATCATGATCTCACATTAAGAAATCTCTATATTTGAGAGATTTATGTGTGTCAATAAATATACACATATTTAAAAAAATAACAAGTCTCTGCTTTTATAAGGTTATCTTAACAATTTATTCTCTTTGGATAAATCTTAAATATATGATGTGCTTCTTCTGCTCCTAACCATATCTGTATAACCTCAGAGGGTATTTAGGTGACCAAAGGATGTAGAGCTGTTGTTTGGGGGTAATTTTAGACTTTGACCTAAGGCAACATTTTGAGAGCTCAAGAGCCTTTTCTTTCACACCGAAGTCCAAAGAAACACATTCTGCAAATCTACATTCCACAGCAGTTTCAATCAGGATAGTTTCTATTTTCCATTCAAAAAAAATGTTGAAGAAAGCATGTCCGATTTGCATTTCAAAAATGGAGGACAGCCATTAGCCATTTGCAACTAAAGCTCTTGTGGTATTAAAAATTATTTTTGTAAAATACACAAAAAATCATTATCTAAAGACACACTTTTTCATATGTTAGCTGTTGAACTAAAATAATAAAACAAGTACGATATTGTCAAGTGTATTTTATTTTTATTACATTACCCTCAATATTTGCTGTGGCCAGCACAGCGTTTTACTTTAAGCAAGGTAAAATAAAAAATGTAATCGACCTTTTGGGTTTAAGTTGGGGAAGAAGCCAGGAAAGGCAATACATAATCATAATTTTGGCTATATATGGGTGGTGATGGTGCATTTCTATTAGTAATGAAGGATGACGGTGATTTTTTTTCCCCGAGGGTTGAAATGAGGAGGGAAATTCAGGGGGAGAATCCTAAATATTAATAGGTTGACTGGGCAGGGAGATGTCTGTCGGGATGGAAAGCTCTACTATTCCAAAAAATTCCTAAAACAGGACTGTAGATCTGAGAACGCAGATATGTGCGTATATCTGTGAAAATCCTGAACCTGAAGTTTCTAATCATAAATGTTTAGATCAATATCTTGTCCAAAAAAAAAAAAGACAAAGAAAAGGGGAAAAAAAATCTCGCTTGGGTTTACTAGGTGGCTTTTCTAGTCCTAGGGCGCAAGACGCGTATCCTCCTGGTAACAATGCTTAGAGGAAGGTTACTCCTAACCGGAGTTTGATGCCCGGCCGCTATTCGCCCAGAGAGAATCAAATCCAACTTTGCTACTGTAGCACTAGACTCAGGTGGATTTGGGGGAGGGGGGCGGGGGGGATCATGGTGGTGGTGGAGGGGGGGCGGAATGGCCGCTTTCCCCTTTCTCCCCCTAAAAGGCAAGCAAGCGTGTGCATCTGCCGCTGCACTGGCGTGGCCGCCCGATGCAACCACCAAACTGTCTCCAGCTGGGACAATTCGGTGCAATGACATCTCGGCCGGAGATCGGCTCCACCTGTTGGGGTGGGCGAGCGCGCGGGGCGGGCCGCGGAGGGGGGGGTGTGGGTTCTGCCCGCACCCAGCGCCCCAGGTGTGGACGGGTCTGCCGTGCGCCCCCGGCCCCTAGACGAAGAGCCCGCGCCGGAGGAGCCCGGGCAGTTAACTGCAAACAGCCGCAACCTCGTGGGCTCGCCCCTGGCCCGTCGGTGGGTGCGGGTGCGCCCGGCAGCCCCGACCTCCCAGCACAAAAGAAGGCCCCTGGGTCCCCGTTGCTTCAAGCGCCGGGGCATCCTCCGAAGTGGGGGCCGAGGGGGTGGCTGGGGGCGCGGGCCGGGGGCGAGCCCAGGTGCGGCGAGGGGGCGCGGGGGCTCGCCGGGGAAGAAAAGCCTGACTCATGTCGTGGCGGCGGGCGGCGGCGGGCTCCTGGGAACGGAAAACTCGTGATGCTGTTGCTGCGGAGAAAAGCTTCATTCCCCATTCCGCAGGCGGGGCGGGGGGTGGGGGTGGGACACCACCCAGGGCGCGTACACCCGAGCCCGGGGCTCCCGCAGCCTCGGCCGGCCCCTCCCCGCCGCGCCCCTTCTCCGCTCGCGTGCCCGCGGCCGTGCGCGCGCCCCGCCGCCTTGGGGCCGGGGGGTGGGGTAGGGAGGGAGGTGGGGGGGAAGAGCGGACACACCTAACCCGCGCGCGCCCCGCACCCGGCCCCACCCCCACCCGGGCCGAATCTCGCCCGCCGACCCGGATTCGCTCCCGCGACCGCAGTTTCCCACCCCCCATCTCGGCGTCGGGCGCCTCGGCCCGCCTTCGGCACTTTCCGTCAGGGAAGACCCGGCGTCCGGAAAGGCCCGAAGAGCCGCCGCCGCCCGCTCGGCCGGCCCCGGCTTTCGGTCGGCGGCGCCGGGGCGCATGCGCAGACGCCATCTTCCCTCCTTTTCCTCGCCGGCCCCCTCCCCCTCGCCTCTCCCCCCTCCCTCCCCGTCGCCGCCGCCGCCGCCGCCGCCGCCGCCTCCTCTCGCCGGCGGTCGCCCCTCCTCCTCCTGCGCTCGGGCGCTGGTCCCTCCTCTCCCGATGCCGCGAGAGACTGGGGGATACGGCGGAGCCGGAGAAGAGCACTAGTAACAACCACCACAGCCCCCTCTCCCCGCCCGCCGCCCTCCCTCGGCACCCACCCACTCACCCGCCCCGTTTGCCGACACCGACCAACCCCACCTTTCGTTCTTTTGAGCGGCGTCGGCTGCAGTCGCTGCACCAGCCCGTCCGGCCCCCAGCGCCGCCGAGAAAGGAGCCGCCGCCGCCGCCGCCGCCGCCGCCGCCGTCTGCGGGCCCCCTCCCGCCCGGCCGCGGGCGCCGCGGGCCGAGGACCGAGCCGGCGGCCGCCGACGAGGAGGACGCGAGCCGCCCGCAGCCCCCGGCGCTAGCGCACGTCCCCGCCGCCCTCCGGGGAGGCTCGGGCGCCGGCCCCCTTCCTCCCCGCCGACGGGCGGCGAGCCGCGGCGCCTGCCCCGAGGGAGGAAAATGCTCGGGCTCCATGGCTGCCAGTGATGGAGCGGTCCCTGGGCTCCCGCCGCTGCCACCGCCGCCGCCGCCGCCGCGCCCCGGCCGTGCTCCGCGAGGACCCGGCGTCTCTGCGCGCCCGCCCGCGCCTCGTTGCTGGGCTCGCCGTACCGGGCGCCCCGCCGCCGCCGCCGCCGCCGCCGCCGCCGCCCCGCTCCGAGCCTCGCCGCGCCGGCCCCCGCCGCGGCCAGCGTTTCCTCGCCGAGCAGCCGCCGCGAGCCCAGGGGGTTTGAAAGGGTCCGCGGGGCGCGGGCGGGAGGAGGGCCGAGCGGGGCCACCGGCGGGGCCGGGAGGGGCGGTCTGAGCGACCCCGAGCTCGGGGCTCGGCCGGCGGTGGCGGCGGCGCCCGGGGTGGCCGTGGGGGGAAGGCGACAGTCGCCCCGCGCTGCCTCCGTGCAGAGAGCGCGACCGGGAGGGCTTTGCAGCCCCTCGCCGCGGCGGCGGCGGAGGCGGCGGCGGCGGCGGGCGGAGGGCTCGAGGGGGCTTCCGAGTTGGCCGGAGAAGGTGGGCATTTCTCGGGCTTCCCACCCGTTCCCCGTCTCTTCCCCCCTCCCCCTGCTGCCCCTGCACTCCTCTCCCCCGCCTGCCCCGCACCCCACGTGAAGCGGGATAGAAAGGGGGGTGTGAGACTAGAGGGGAAAGTGAATGGCGAAGGACTGAAGGGGCTCTCCCCCCCCTCGAGTCCCTGGCCGCCCAGTTCACCCTCGTTCATCCTCCCTTCCCGAAGCTAGCCCTCGAAGGCAGGAGTGGCCGGCGCCTTCGGCCGAGGAGGAGGAGGAGGAGGAGAAGGAGCAGGAGCGGGAGCAGGAGCAGGAGCAGGAGCAGGAGCAATCGCGCCGGGCGGAGCGTCGGGTCCCGCTTTCCTCCCCGGCGTCTTGAATACAAAGATTACGGTGCAGAAGGAAATTGCACTCGCCTCCTCCGCCCCCCGGTACCCAACACAATGCACCAGCCGCCCGAGTCCACCGCCGCCGCGGCCGCTGCAGACATTAGTGCTAGGAAGATGGCGCACCCGGCTATGTTCCCTAGAAGGGGCAGCGGTAGTGGCAGCGCCTCTGCTCCCAGTGCAGCAGGTACCAGCGTCGGGAGTAATGCCACAGCCTCCGAGGATTTTCCACCGCCTCCATCGCTGCTCCAGCCGCCACCTCCTGCAGCATCCTCTTCATCGGGACCACAGCCGCCGCCTCCACAAAGCCTGAACCTCCACTCGCAGGCTCAGCTGCAGGCGCAGCCTCTCGTGCCAGGAGGGACTCAGATGAAGAAGAAAAGTGGCTTCCAGATTACGAGCGTCACCCCGGCTCAGATCTCTGCCAGCATGAGTTCCAACAACAGCATAGCAGAGGACACCGAGAGCTACGACGACCTGGATGAATCGCACACGGAAGATCTGTCTTCTTCCGAGATCCTTGATGTGTCACTTTCCAGGGCTACCGACTTAGGGGAGCCGGAACGAAGCTCGTCAGAAGAGACTCTGAACAACTTCCAGGAAGCTGAGACACCTGGGGCTGTGTCTCCCAACCAGCCCCACCTTCCTCAGCCTCATTTGCCTCACCTTCCACAACAGAACGTTGTGATCAATGGGAATGCTCATCCACACCACCTCCATCACCACCATCACATCCATCATGGGCACCACCTCCACCATGGGCACCACCATCCATCCCATGCTGGTGTGGCTGGCGCATCCATCACTGGAGTACCACCCTCAAGCCCAGTGTCCAGAAAACTCTCTACAACTGGAAGCTCTGAAAGTGTTCTGTTGGCTGCACCAACTTCTGCTGTATCATCGGGTGGCTCACCTGCATCTGTAATGACTAATATCCGTGCTCCCAGTGCGACAGGCAGTATGGGTCTCAATGCTGTTACTGGCACCAATACAATGAATAATGTTAACGTTACTGCTGTGGGTAGTTTTAATCCGAATGTGACAAGCAACGTGGTTGGCAATGCTAATATAAATGCAAGCAATATTCCTAGTGCTACTAGTGTGAGTGTTGGGCCTGGAGTTGGCAGTAGCGTTAATGTGAATATGTTGAGCGGTATGGGTAATGGTACGACTTCTTCCTCTGCTGCTGCTAACAGTGTCCCCAGTGCAGCTCCAGGGATAACTGGGGGATCACTTACCAGTCAGCAGCAGCAGCAGCAGCAGCAGCAGCAGCCGACAGTTAACACATCAAGGTTCAGAGTTGTGAAGTTAGATTCTAGTTCGGAGCCCTTTAAAAAGGGTAGATGGACTTGCACTGAGTTCTATGAGAAAGAGAATGCCGTACCTGCTGCCGAAGGTGTGGTGATCAATAAAGTGGTGGAGACTGTAAGACAGAACCCAGTGGAAGTGACTTCTGAGAGGGAGAGCACTAGTGGGAGTTCAGTGAGCAGTAGTGTCAGCACACTGAGTCACTACACCGAGAGTGTGGGAAGTGGAGAGATGGGAGCCCCTGCTGTGGTGGTGCAGCAGCAACAGCCACCAGCCCTTCCAGGTGTGGCCCTGCAACAGATGGAGTTCAGTAGCACTGGTCCACAGAGTATTTCAGCAGTTAGTATACCGCAGAGTATTTCACAGTCACAGATCTCTCAAGTACAATTGCCGTCTCAAGAACTGAGCTATCAGCAAAAGCAAGGTTTTCAACCAGTACCTCTGCAAGCCACTATTAATGCTGCAACTGGTATCCAGCCATCCCCCGTTAATGTGGTAGGTGTAACTTCCGCTTTAGGTCCACAGCCTTCCATTTCCAGTTTGGCTCAACCCCAGCTGCCGTATTCTCAGCCGGCTCCTCCAGTGCAAACCCCTCTTCCAGGAGCATCCCCCCAGCAGTTACAATATGGACAACAGCAATCAGCGGTTTCGACGCAGATGACCCCCGGCCATGGTAAAGCAGTGACACAAAATCCTACAACTTCTGAGTATGTACAACAGCCGCCGCTCCTTCCAACGGCAGTTACCTCTGGACAGCCCAGTTCTGCAGGAGTGGGAGCAGGAACAACAGTGATTCCTATGGCTCAACCACAGAGTGTCCAGCTGCCGCTGAAGCCTGCTACAGTCCAAGCACAACCTGCAGGGACATCTGGCCAGCCTGCTGGCCAGGCTCAGACAGCAGTATCTGCTGTACCTTCTGGCAGTCAGATTGCAAATATTGGTCAACAAGCGAACATACCGATTGCAGTGCAGCAGCCCTCTACCCAAGCCACACCTTCAGTTCTTCAGCAAGGTGCTCCTCCATCTTCACAAGTAGTTCCTCCTGCTCAAACCGCGATTATTCATCAGGGAGTTCCAACCAGTGCTTCAAGCCTTCCTCAACAATTGGTCATTGCACCCCAAAGTACCTTGTTAACTGTGCCTCCCCAGCCACAAGGAGCAGAACCAGTAGCTCAAGGAGTTGTTTCGCAGCAGTTGCCTGCAGTTAGTCCTTTGCCCTCTGCTAGTAGTATTTCTGTTTCTAATCAGGTTAGTTCAACTGGTCCTTCTGGAATGCCTTCTGCCCCAACAAACTTGGTTCCACCACAGAATATAGCACAAACGACCCCTGCCACCCAGAATGGTAATTTGGTTCAAAGTGTTAGTCAACCTCCATTGATAGCAACTAATATAAATTTGCCTTTGGCACAACAGATACCACTAAGTTCTCAGTTCTCTGCACAATCATTAGCTCAGGCAATTGGAAGCCAAATTGAAGATGCCAGGCGCCCAGTGGAACCCTCCCTAGTTGGCTTACCTCAGACTACCAGTGGTGACAGTGGGGGAATGTCAGCAGTCTCAGATGGGAGTAGCAGCAGCCTAGCTGCCTCTGCTTCTCTTTTCCCGTTGAAGGTGCTACCGCTGACGACACCCCTGGTGGATGGCGAGGATGAGAGGTAAGATCATGTCATGTTTCTGTACACATTCCACAGAGCCTAAATTCATCTGTGGCTTAATAAATGCCAGAAACTAGCCTAAAGCATTATATCTTCTTTTTTTTTTTTTTTGGTATTGAACATGCATTTTCTTGGTAAGTTTCCTTTAGAGACAAGAACGGTTTCAGAGTGGATGCGAAATGGTATAAGTCATCTGTGATAGCATTTGTCCGAATAACTGTTGAGCATTAATAGGTTTGGGGGCATGATGTGATTTTGTTACAAAATGCTTTTTAGAAAGATTAATCACTAAGGGGATCTGTAAGTTTTGCCAACCCGCATAATAGGTGATCTGCTCTTGAATTACCAAAGCCCCACTGATCATCTCTTGGGGGGTTGTGATTCCCACCGTTTGTTTCTCGTTTGCTACACTAAACAGTCCTTTTCAGTTCTACTGTGTTTGATCTTGGTCTGTTCAAACCTGCTTTCCAAGTCAGACTCTAGAGGGATGATGACCTAATCTGGGTTATAGAGTTGCCCTCAGACTGCAGTTGACCAAGTTTTGTGAATAGTTTGATGGTCACTTTTCTCTGAACAGTAAAGAAATAGGAATCTCAAAAGATATTTTGTGGGGTAGGAGTGCATACTGTCAAAAGAACCATTTATTTGCTAGTAGTATGCCATACAGTTAGCTATTCTTTGGGTAGCTGATCAAGGTGGTAGCCATTTTAAAGCATAAAGAACGTCTTGGGAGGGTTGAATTTATAGGCATGAAACTAAGACTTTGTTCTGTCAGTCTACTCCACCTGTTCTCTTCTTCAATTAGCCCCACCCCCGTATATATGTTTAAGATACATTAATAAGCCAGTGTTTTCAGAATTGGATGGGAAACAATGCACTAATTACGTTTTTCGAATCAGATTGTGTCATTAATCTGACTGCTCATGAAACTTAAGTTGATTTTTAAAGGAATGTTCTTTACACAAATTTGCCTTCTGAAAATATCCTTGATGAAACTATCATAGGAGTTAAGACAAAGGCTATTCATTTTCACCATGGGACTTTGAATAAGCTCGAAAGACATTTAATTATTTTTGTATTAGTTGGAGATTTTTGTAATTGAGCTTTCATCACATTGGAAACATTTATATTCTAAACGTGTGTTTGAGGTTTTCACTTAGGAAAAAATGAGAGCATTTTTTCAAAAGAGTTGCAATTTTACAAAAAGGAAACAAAAGCCAAGGTTTCAGTGAAGTTTCATGACTTTTTAAAAGTTATTTAAAGGCATGGTTTAATAGAAATGATCTTATCTTTCAAGATTTTTATTTCTCAAAATAGTTATGTAATTCAGATCTGTTACCTATACAAATTATAGTGCATGCAGAACTGTTTTTTAAGAACAGACTTTTTAAAAATATTGTTCTATTTGTTGTTAAACCTTTAGATTTACCACATGATGCAAGTACTCACCTGTTTAGGCTAGTTAGTACCTATAATTCTAAAGATCATTAAAATTGAGGTACCAAATTCTATTCTCTAAATCTACATACTGTGCTCTGAATGAGGCCCCTCTAAAATCAAGTATACTGTACGGATACTGATCTTATCAGAGACTTGAGAGATATGAAATATCAAGTGAAAACCTCCCATATTGAATTCAAACCTGCCATGATTTTTGTTAATTACCATTTATGGTCTCCTGGCATGACTTTAGCCTTTTTTTGGCTCTACTGGTGGTAGGGCATGAGAGGCTTTTCACAGTTTGCTGTTGCAGACAATTAAAGTCAGATGTTGCTACTTACAAGTAGGTTTTAACAGTAGAAAAAGAATTCCAATTTTCAGATATTAGAACAAATTTTTTCCGTATGACAATTGAGATAAGGATTAATTAGGGGCAAATTTTGCCCAAAGACTTGAAATTTAAGGGACAAAAATATAAAAAATATAATGAATAAAGTAATTTGCCCTCAGAGTGTACCTGTCTTGACTTTTACTACATATTTAAACATTTATTTATGTAAAACTTACCAAAACCAGGAATTTTTTGCTTCAGAGATATCCTTTGGATTTTGAAAGATAAAAATGTTTACCTCTAAAATAACTTGGAAAGGACTTCATTGTATTTTCTTCCCTACATATTATTATTTATTTTTTTGGTGTACTTTGAAAAAGTGTCATTTGCCCTTGGAAGGATACTTAAGAGAGAAAAAAAAAGATATCGATAAAAAGGAATTAAAAAAAAATCTTTTCTTCCCTTAAAAACTTCCATGTCACTTGTATCTTCCAGACATGATTACCATTAGTCTTTCAGTGAAAGGAGTATTATAGTTTCAGTATTATGACTTAGAAAACATGATAACAATGTAACCTTTTGGTGGTAGGACAAAAGAAGGTTGGTTTGCTTTTGAAATGATTCTAAAATATTATCTTTTGAAGTAGACATTTTATTTTTTAATTTTTTGCTTTTTGGGTCACACCCGGCAATGCGCAGGGGTTAATCCTGGTTCTGTACTCAAGAATTACTCCTGGTACTGCTCAGGGGACCATATGGGATGCTGGGAATCGAACTTGGGTTGGCTGCGTGCAAGGCAAACGCCTTACCCGCTGTGCTATCGCTCCAGCCCCTAAAGTAGACATTTCAAAATGTCTATTAGTCATGTGGAAAACTCAGTTGACCACTGGGAAAGATTACAATATTTTTTTTTATAAAAAACAAGATCTTGTTTTAAAAAGTCTTAAACTGTCTTATGTTCACCTCTACCATAAATGTATATATGACACAAGAAAGATATATTTATTTCACATATATCTATGGTTTTTTATGGTTTGAGATGATTAATAGAGCTCGCTCTCAAGTGAAATTGGTCAAGCTTCTATTTATCCTTCAAAACTTAGCTGTTTCCTCTGAAGCATTCTTTTCATTGAGGGAATGTCATTTCCTAAGGCACTGTACACATTCAATTCTAAATCTGTCTTTCTCTGAAGGACAAGAACTAAGTAATTTTTGAATGAATTAATGAGAAAACCCTTTTATGATTTTAAAAAATTATAATTAAAAAATTAGGTTGTCTCTGACATAATAAGAACAGTGAGACCTATACATTAAGCAATAATAATAATAATAATAATAATAATTAAAAGGAGTGAGTAGAAAGGCTTGCTTTTTAACTTTTTGCTTGAGGTGCTTTGATGTCTGAGTACCTCAGTCTTCTAAATAAAGTGCCTGTTATATAGAAGAACTTCAAATATTTATTAAAGATGAGTGAGAATTTTTTGCTTTTAAAAAGATATAATAGTTACTTTGCCTGTTTTTGAGGATGTATTATGAGGTAAAATACTAAGTAAGAAGTTTTAAGTTTTATTTAGATTGTACATGAGCAGTTGAATCGATAATACATGACTATCAAAATAAACGATTCCTGCTCCTTTTCCTTTTCCTTTTCCCTTACCCAGGGCAATTCCTTTTACCTCCTTTAGGGAATGGTTTTGATATATACCTACTAGGCTCTAAATAGCATGCTTGTATTGCTACTACATATGCAACATAGCTAAATGGTTAGCATTTGAACGAACTCTAGAATTCAGTTCAAATGCTTAGGTTTTGATATTCTGTGATTGCATTGGTTTATTTAAACTGTCTTTTTGGCCCATTTTAATAAATGGGGATAATAGTACCAACCTCGAAGAGTTGTTTATAAGAAATGAATTTAGAAAGCCCTTAGAAATGTGTCTAACTCCTGCACTCTATACAAGAAACTTGTCAAGTATTTCTTGCTTTTGTTTTGAGCTTTATTAACTTAGTGGATAGAAAACGAAGTTTTAACTCGTCACTCAGTTGCTTCACCTCTTTAAATGCACTACCCTTTCTAATAGCTGTGTGTAAATCCCTCCTCCCACCACTGCACCCCAGCTCACTTGGTATTACAGGATATGAGTATATATATTTATGTATACTAGGTAACATAGACACTATGTACTATTTAGCATAAATGGTAATAGGTTCCTCGGTTTTGTATTTTTGGGGTTTTGCATTTTATGATAGGGCCTTTCTTCACATGTCTAGTCACTCGTGATTTTCTGCTTAGAGCTCAGTGTAAGAGACTAAGGAACAGTTCTCATTGTGGTTTGTTGACAACTTCACCTTCCCCCCACCTTGGACTTAATTTTATTCCCTGTGATTCAGTTTTTCATCAGATGTCTCAAGATGTTCAGATAGAGTAGACATTTTTTTTTTCTGAATAAATCCCTATCATATCTCTGACCTCTGTTCTGAACTGATTGCTTTATAGATTTACTATACAGTTCTTAGCCTGGGATTCCCATCTTTTTGTCCAGTAATTGATCACCATTTTCTAGTGAGCTTTTTGAGAAGTTGAAGACGCTATTTTGATTGTTCATATATTATGTTTGACCTCTTTGGGGTTCTTTTTTCCTTTCCCTTTTTCTCCTCTTTTCCAAAATATTACCATTTTCTCTCCAATTCTTAAATCTTTGTGAGTTTTTAAGATCACATTTTTTTTCTAGGGCTCAGGAATTTTTTTACAGTGATGAGTACTTGTGTGAATTTCTCTTTTATCATCTGTGGTGCTGAGTACTTGGTATGCCCTTTCACTCTGGAAATAATTCTGGGACATTTTCTTGAATGAGATTGTTGATTATTTCTTTGCATTTTCTCTTTCACAGGCTCCTACTGTTTAGATAAAGAACCTTTTAGACGTTTTTGATTTTCTCACACTTTGTCTCTTTTTGTTCTGCTTCTATTGCTTTTTTTTTAAATCTTTATGATATATTTAATTCCAAGAGGTTTTGCTTTTGTTCTTTGCTCCTTTAAAATAGTATTCTGTCTAATTACAGTACTTTCTCCTAGTTGTCTGAATATATAAATGTTAAATTAAAAAAATTTCTCTGTGATCTGTGTACTCTGATTTTCATCTTCTTTTGATTTGCTTGCTCTTTACCTTTTATATCATAATCTTTCTTCAGATAGAAAAGACTAGGGGAATAAAATGCTGATTAGAAAA